CCGCCCTTGCCCCTCGCCGCCTCTCCCGCTCCCCCCTATCGCCCGCCTCGCCTCCCCACCCCCGCCCACCCACCCCCATCCCCCACCACCCCCCCGCCCACACACCCACCCACCCACCCATCCACCCACATCCTTGTTCCTTATTATTATATACCCCCACCTACCTCGTATTCCGGCCGATAGCAACCCAATCCGGGACCTCCCATCCAGACTGTAAAAAATCAATACAAAGTGGCCGTGTTTCTTCTCAACATCGTTTTTCTTGTCGTCGACGATGCGAAATGCGCGAAAGGAACGGGACGCGGCGCACATCGCGCGCGGCAGTCAATCTGGGCCCGCCCATCCTAACTGTAAAAAACCTATACAAAGTCTTCGCTGTTTCCTCTCAGCATGGCCTGCCTTGTCGCCGACGGTGCGAAACATGTGGCAACAATGGGACGCGGCGCACATATGGGACGCGGCGCACATCGCGCGCGGCCGTCAATCCGGGCCCGCCCATCGTGACTGTAAAAAATCAATACAAAGTCTCCGTTTTTTCCTCTCAGCATGGCTTGCCTTGTCCCCGACGGTGCGAAATATGTGGCAGGAACGGGACGCGGCGCGCATCACGCGCGGACGTCCATGCGGGCCGCGGGCCCCCCCATCCTGACTGTAAAAAACAATACAGAATTGCCGTTGTTCCTTTCATCATGGCCTGTCTTGTCGTCGGCGATGCGAAGTGCGTGGCAGGAATGGGGCGCGGCGCACATCGCGCGCGGACTTCTGGGGCAACCCCAAGGCGGGAGAGGCCACCTTACTTGTCAGAAACAATGCCATGCTGATTTTCCCTGCCCACATAGCTGTTCTTGTCGTCCACCCCGCAAAAGTGCATGGCAAGAATTGGGCGCGGCACACCCCCTCCCCCCCGCTCGAAGTGAATGAAATGACCTTCTCGCTTGGGCGCCGAGCGAAATTTTCTCAAAGTTGCGCTCCCGCTTTGGCTCGGCGCACGTTTTTAGCTCGCCAATTCATTGGGCGCCGGGGCGTTCCAGGAGGCCCTGGGGTGACGAATGCCTGGGAGGTTTTTGCTTGTTCAGGCTCTTGGAGGGCCTCCTGAGGCTCCCCGCGGTTTCTTGGCGCTACGGCCGTCTGGAGGCCATCTTGGGCGTCTTGGAACGATCTTTCGGCGACTCAGGGCTACTACTACTACTACTACTACTACTACTACTACTACTACTACTACTACTACTACTACTACTACTACTACTACTACTACTACTACTACTACTACTACTACTACTACTGCTACTACTACACTACTACTACTACTACTACTACTACTACTACTACTACTACTACTACTACTACTACTACTACTACTACTACTACTACTACTACTACTACTATATACTACGACTACTACTACTACTACTACTACTACTACTACTACTACTACTACTACTACTACTACTACTACTACTACTACTACTACTACCACCACTACGCGCCAGCACCCAATTGCACCAGCATTGTCTCTTATGTTGTGGGAGGGCGGAACGTGGCCGTTGTTCCTTTCAACATGGCCAGTCTTGTCGTCAACGATGCGAAATGCGTGGCGGGAATGGGACGCGGCGCACATCCCGCGCGGACGTCAATGCGGTGTCCTGGGGTACCCTCCGCTCGCACTGAAAGGCCCGCGCAGACCCCAGTTGTGCCATCACTGTTTCTTATGTTGTGGGAGGGCGGGTGGGAATGGGCATGTCATGCCTGACTCGCTCGAGCTGGCTAGCTTGATTATTAGATACCCCCACCTACCTCGTATTCATGCCGATAGCAGCCCAATCCGGGACCTCCCATCCGGACTGTAAAAAAGCAATACAAAGTGGCAGTTGTTCTTCTCAACATCGTCTTCTTTCTTCTCGTCGACGATGCGAAAAGCGTGGCAGGAATGGGACGCGGCGCAAACCGCGCGCGGCAGTCAATGTGGGCCCGCCCACCCTGACTGTAAAAAAACAATACAAAGTCTTCGTTTCTTCCTTTCAGCATGGCCTGCCTTGTCGCCTATGTTCAACCTGCTGGCAGTTCCACACCAAAAGGTCAAACAAATGACCACAATGCTCTGCCTCCCGGGGAAATCACATGTTCCCCCCCAAGTACTTCAATAGTTCGGGGCCCTCGACGGTTCGGGCTTCCAACGCTCCACAGTGGCCCAAGAGACCCCCAAGACGGCCCAAGAGGCACCCCAAGAGAGCCCCAAAGATCGCCCCAAGAGGGCGCAACAGGGCTCCAAAACGGCCCCAGGGGCACCCAGGACGGCCCAAGAAGGCCCAAAAACAGCCCCAAGAGGGGGAGCACGAACGGAAACTTTTAGTCGTCCGCCCCAAGAGGCCCCCAGGAGGCTCCCAGGAGGCCCCAAGAGGCCCCCAAGAGGCCCCCAAGAGGCTTTCAAGACGGCCCAAGAGTCCCGAACACGGCTCCCGGAGGGCCCCCAACTGGCATCCAAAGAGGCCCCCGTCAGGATGGTCCAAGAGAGCCCAACACGGCCCAAGAGGCGCCAAAGAGGCCCCTGAGACGGCCCAAAAGGCCTCCAAGAGGTCCTCCAGGAAGGCCCGAAGATACCCAAATCTCTAATTTCCTCAGGTGTTCACGGAGTTTGGCATTGGCTTCAAAATGAGCGACCGACGGCCCAAGACGGCCCAAGAGGCCCCCAAGATTGCCCCAAGATCGCCCAAGAGGCCGCCAAGATGGATCCACAACGGCCAAACAGGCTCTCAAGACGGCCCCCCAAGGCGGCCCAAGAGGCCTCCCAGACGCCCAAGATGGGCTCCAAGACGACCCTGAAGCGCCCCAAGAGGGCCCCAGGACGACCCAGAGAGGCTCCCAAGACGGCTTCCGACGGCGTCAGACGGGCCAGGAACGCCGTAAGATGGCCGAAGGGACCTCCAAGAAGCCCCGAAAGGCCCCCAAGAGGCCCTCAAGAGGCCCTAAGGAGGCCCCCCAAAGGCGTCCAAGAGGCCCCCAGGAAACTCCCAGGAGGCCCCAAGAATGACCCAAGAAGCTCCCAAGAGGTCTCCTCATCCTTCTCCTCATGCTCCTTTGTCATCCCCCTTCTCATCCTCCACTTCCTCCCCCACGAGTTCTCCAAAGGGCTTCACAACGGCTGGAGGAACGCATGGTCCAATAGCGCGGCCAAAATTTGCCCATTCGATGGGCCACATAGGCGTATCCTAAGAGGCAAGGGGCGGCAGTGATCTGCTGTCGGCGCCTTCGATCGAACATCAAGATATACTCATGTCTGTGAATATCCACGGCTTCGGCTCGAACGCGCTCGACATAAGCTCGTTCGCAAATTGTGATGATGCCTCCCGTCAGCGTGTAACAAGCGGCCGTGACCCTGCAGCGCTGGCAGAGTTTTCTTGTTCGTGCGCGCGGGGCCGTGACTGAGGGTCCCCAGCCGAAAAGTACCCCGGCAAGTTCCGATCAGACATGTTGTTGCTCCTGGGCGCCGCCCTCGGGGCACACCGTGAAGCCCCAAGAAGGGCCATGAGGTCCCCAAGAGGCCCCTAAGATGGTCCAAGAGGCGTCTGGGGCACCACAAGATCGCTCGAAGACGCCCAGATGGCCCCAGACGGCCCGCTAGCCCTCCAAGATACTCCCAAGAGGGCCCTAAAGGCCAAAATCTTAGATCCCCCTCTGATGTTTGAAAGATTTTGGCATTCTCGCCTTGTTGCTGTTTCCCGACGCTAAAGACGGCCTAAGAGGTCTCCAAGATCGTCCCAAAACGGCCCAAGAGGCCTCCTGGAGGGCCCCAAGACGGCCCAAGAGAGTCCAAGATGGTTCGGGAGGCCTTCAAAAACGACCCAAGAGGCCCCGCTGACGGCTCCAAGAGGGAGCCCAGACGGGGGACGGGGAGCCCGAACAGACATTTTGAGCCCTGGGCCCCAAGAAGACCCCAGGTGGCCCCAAGGGGCCTCCAAGAGGCCACCAGAAAGCTCCAAGATATCCCAAAGGCTCCCATGATGCCCCCAAGAGTCCCCAGAACTGCCCTCCAAAAGCACCCGAGAGCGCTCCAAAGAGACCCCAAGAAGCATCCCTGCGGACTTTGACCCACAACCTAGCCATGTCGGTGAGCAGTAGAGGCCAGAACTCCGACGATAAGCACCACAGCAACTAATTCACCTCCATGCCTGCTGTCGCCACGCCTCCCCCCTCAAAACAAAAAGACGGCACAATACGGGCCGGCGGAAAGAACGAAGCAATTCCATAACAAGCGGCCGTGACCCTGCAGCGCTGGCAGAGTTTTCTAGTTCGTGCGCGCGGGGCCGTGACTGAGGGTCCCCTACGTATCGAAGCTCAATACGTCTCTTCTTCCTCCTCTGGATGCTCGGACCTCAAACCTTAAACCTCGAACCTCGAACCTCGAACCTCCTCCTCCTGCTCCTCCTCCGTATTCCTCCTCCGTATTCCTCCTCCTCCTCCTCCTCCTGCTCCTCCTCCTCCTTCTCCTCCTCCTCCTCCTCCTCCTCCTCCTCCTCCTCCTCCTCCTCCTCCTCTTGCTCCTCCTCATCCTCTCGGGTTGGACGAGGGGATAGCGAAGGGGGAGTTACCAATTCAGCTCACGTAGCTGGTTTGCCTGACGCATCCCAGCGCCGGAGGCGACAATGTATCGAGGAACGCGCCCGACGACGGGGACGAAACCAGCTGCACGCAGCACGTGCCGTACTCCCCCCCCACCTTTCCCTATCACCCTCCTGTCAACCGACCCGATCCTCTGGAGTCTGCACGCCCGTCCCTCCAAGTGGGGCCGTGTACCATGAACAACGAATGCATGCTAGCAGTTCCGCGTGGGAACAACACGTGCGGAATCCTCGACCCTTTTCCCTCGATGTGTCTCTATTTCCCCTTCTGCAGCCTCAAACCTCTAGCATCGACCCCCCTCCTCTGGAGCCTGCGAGCACGTCCCTCCAAGCGGGGCGGTAGTTGAGGGCGCAAGCGCCAGGCCGCGGCCCAAAATGTCCCGCCTTCTGCCGGCACTCCGTGGACTTGCGGAGCACCGCGGAGAGCAGCCGCTTCAGGGAGGCGTCCCCACCTCGGCGGCCTCCGTCTCCCCCTCTGCCTTCCGACTCACGAAGGGAAGACATTATGTGGCGCAGCTGATTCTAAGGAACAAGTTGACACATCCCACGCTTTTGCAAACATCCCGCCCACCCGCTCGCAATCTGGCTTGCAAGGCCCATGCGGTGGCGATTGCGGTGCATGCTTGGCGGTGGCTGGTGCATTTCTGCGGCCGCACCACCCCCAGCACGCGCGCACAGCGGCCAGCCAATTTGGCGCCACCGACCCGGCCGCGGTGGCGCTGACCGGTGGGCACATCCCAGCGGGAACTTCATTGCGAATCGGCGAGTTGGGGGGGGCGCAGTATCACGGCAACACCGACAACGGTAGACACGATGATGATGGTAGCGATGTTGGTGACGATGTTCGCACCAACACAGGCTCGGCCAGTGCGGGCGCCGATGTTGGTCACGCCGGCGACGATGACGGCGTCCTCGCGTCGGTGATGAAGGTTTGGGAGAGAGAGTTCGACATGCGCGGGCGGCTGACGCGCGAGAGTGGCCCGCATGGTTTTATTTGACACGGATCGTTCCCCCCAGCACGCGCGCAAGAGCGTGCGAATGATTGTCGGCATGCGGCGCCAGAGGCCCGTTTGTCGGAATCCCATGAAATGTTGAAAAACCTATGGTTTTCTGAAGCATTCGCAAGAGCGCGCGCGCAAGCTTTTTTGAAAACTGATGTTGCGAAACCATGTGTTTTGAACGTGCTTGATACATTCGGTTTCAAAATCGTTCAGAAACCGACGCGTTTTGAAGCATTTCGGCATGCGCGCGCAACGACGCGCGCGTGTGCACTTCGTCCCATGTGTTTGCAAGAGATGGTTGAAAACTGCTGAATGTGTGATAAACGAGTGCGCGCGCGCATAGTACTTCCTGCAGGGGGTGACGGGGGGGGGCGGATACCGGCTGGGCTGGGATGAATTCATATTTAGGATGGACGATGGGGCAGAATCAATTGTAAATTGCAACACGAAAAGAGGCACCAATACTCCCGAGGGGGTAAAATCTATTCTCTCTTAAGAAAGAATAATTTACGTTTTGCAACTTATGTCGTGAAATCTACGATGTGCAGTCTATGTTGCGCAATGCGCGGTTCAATCTACGTGGTGCAACTCACTTTGACTGTCTTGAACCTGTCCTCTTCACTGCTCGTGCAAAAAACCCACCATCCCACCCGCAACTTGGTCGCAAGACTTCTTAAGACCGTCACGATGGTACCAAATTGCACTTGGCAGCGACAGCAACGCCGACGACGACAGCGACAACGACGACGCCGACGACGACCACGACGACACCGACGACGTCTCCGACGACTTCGACGACGACGACGACGACGACGACGACGACGACGACACCGACGACGACGACGACGACGCCGACGCCGCCGACGACGACGACGATGACGACGCCGACGACGACGACGGCGACGACGACGCCGACGACGAGGACGACGACGACGACGACGTCGACGACGACAACGATGAAGATGACGACGACGACGACGACGGCGGTGACGACGACGACGACGTCGCCAACGAAGACGAAGACGACGAAGAGGGAGGAGGAAGGACGACGACGGCGACGACGCGAACCACGAGGGAGGGAGGACGGCGACGCCGACGACGACAACGACGAGGGAGGAGGGAAGACGACGACGACGACGACGACGACGACGGCGACGAAATAGGAGGGACGACCACGAGACGCCGACGACGGACGACGATGACGACGACGACCAGAGGGAGGAAGGACGACCACGGCGACAACGACGACGGAAACGACGACGACGCCAAAGAGGAGGACGACGACGACGACGAGAAATGACAGAGGACGACGACGGCGACGACGACGACGACGACGACGAGGGAGGAGGGAAGACGGCGACGACGAAGACGACGCAAGAGCGCGCGCGCACCCTTTTTTAGAACATCAGTGTTACGAAACCCTGTGGTTTTGTATGTACTTCGGAAACTCGATTTTGAGATCCTTCCGAAAGCGAGAGTTTGTTCAAGGATTTCGGCATGCGCGCGCGACGACGCTTCGCGTGCACTGCGTCCCTTTTCTTGCAGAGGGTTCTCGCGACGGCATGCGCGCAAGGGCGTTCGAACGATTCTGACATGCGCGCGCGAAGACCATTGGGTAGCATTTGTTTGAAAATGTTGAAAAGCCTATGTGTTCTTAAGGTTTCGCAAGAACTTTAAAAACGCTTAAATGGGAAACCGTGATTCTAATGTTGTTTGGAAGCTCGATTTTGCAACCCTTCCCGAACCGAGGGTTTTTGAACGATTTCGGCATGCGCGCGCGACGACGCGCGCGTGTGCACTTCGTCCCTTTTTTGTTGCAAGGGATGTTTGGAAACTTATGGTTTTTGATAAACGAGCGCGCGCGCAAATTATTCATTGCAAGGAGGATGGCGGGGGGGCCGATACCAGTGTGGCTAGGAGAATATGAATTCACAGATCGGATGGACATTGGGTCCGAATCCTATGTGTTTTGCATCGGTCCATGGGGGATCTTCAACCCCGGGGGAGGGAGGGTGGTAGAACATTTGTCGGGCAAAAAAAAACATTTCTGGTCTCAGTGAGTTGTCCACTCTTCTGTTCGCGCAATCATCCCACCCACCCGCCCGCATCCCATGCGGCGGCGATCGCGATGAGTGTTTGGCGTTGGCTGGCACATCTCTACGGCCGCGCCAGCCCGCGCATGCTCGCGCGCGCAACGGCCAGATAGTTTGGCGCTGCCGGCGCGGCCGCGGTGGCGCGGACCGCTGGGCGGGCGCGGTATCATGGCAACGTCGACAACGGTAGACGCGATGATGACGGTAGCGGTGCTGGCGACGACGATGACAACGACGACGGCAAGGCCAGTGACAGCGCCGACGGTGCAATCACGCCGGCGACGGCGACGGCGGCTTCGCGTCGGCGACGACATGGGAGTTCGACATGCGCGCGCGGCCGAAGCGCAAGAGTGGCCCGCATGGAACTATTGGATGCGGATCATGCCCCACCCCCAGCACGCGCGCAAGGGTGTAATCGAAAAATGTCGACGCGCGGCGCGAGTGGCCCGCTGGGCCAAACGCAATGAACAAATTAAAAGCACGATGGTGTTCTTAAGAATTCGCCGGAGCGCGAGCGCAGGCACGTTTGAAAACTGTTGTTGCAAGACCATGCGATTCTATATGTTTTCGAGACGCTCAGAATTGAGATCCTTACGAGGCCCAGGTTTGTGAAGGATCTCGGCACACGCGCGCGACGGCGCACGCGCTTGCACTTCGTCCCGTTTCCTGCAAAACGGATATTGCGACAACGCGCGCGCAAGGGCGCCCGGGCGATCCCGGCATGTGCACGCGAGAGGCCCGTTTGGTAGCAAGTTGCGCAACTGTTGAGAAACCAATGATGTCCTTAGGAATCCGGAAGAGCCCGAGCGCAAATTGTTTTGTACATGTGTTCGGGGTGTTCGATTTTTGACATCCCTACGACCTATGAAACCTACGGCGCCTATAATATTTCGGCATGCGCGCGTCGTCACTTCGTCCCGCTATTTTCTGCAAGGGATTATTGGCAACTTCTTCGAAAAAACGAATGTGCAAGCATCATGTGGGCTGCAGAGGACGAGTGGGGGAACCGTTGCCGGCCTACCCGGGGTTGGCATGACTTCATACTCGGGATGGGCAATGGGGCAGAAACATATAGAAACTGCGAAATGCAAAAGAATGCGGTTCAATCCAGGGGGGAGCTGCATTGTGATCTACGCGACGCAATTGACCCTGCCGAACTTGAAGTTGTCAACGCCGCTGCTTGCGCAACCACCCCACCCGTCCACTCGCAACTTCGCAAGCAAAACCACGCGGCGGCGATTGCGATGACTGCTCTGCTCAGGTTTCTGGCGCGAAGAGCGGCAGCTAGTATGAAGCGACCGACGCGGCCGCGGTGGCGTTGACCGCTGAGGGCTGCCCGGCGCGTCTCGCAGGCCGCGCTGACGCGCAGGCACTTCGATGCGAGTGGGTGACTCGGGCGGGCGCGGTACGATTGCAACGTCGACAACGGCATGCACGGTGATGATAGTAGAGAAGCTGGCGACGACGATGGCAATGACGACGGTAATCGCAGCGACGGCGCCGATGCTGATCGCGCGGGCGACGACGATGGCACCCTCGCATCAGCGGCGAAGGTTGCGATTCGGATATCGACGCGCGCGCGAAGCCGACGCGCGAGTGGCCCGCGTGATATTACTTGACATGGATCGCGCCCCCCTCCCGCCCCAGCGCGCGCAAGGTCGTTCGAATGATCTTAACATGCGCGCGGGAACCCCCCTTGGTCGCGCGCGCTGGGCGCGCTGAAAATCCGATGGCTTTCTTGAGCCTTCGCAAGAGCGCAGGCGCATATATGTGTTGAGAGCTCCGTTTGCGAAACCAATGGCTGGTCGCTTGTTTCCAGGGCGCTCGCTGCTGAAATCGCCGCGATCCTTCAGGTGCCCCGATGATTGCGGCACGCGCGCGCAACGACACGCTCGCGCACTTCGCCCCTACATTTCGCGAAGGATTCTTGCGACAGCGCGAGAGGCACTTCTGGCAGCATTTGATAAACATGTTGAAACATCTGCGGTTGCCATGCGCGTTCGCATGAGCGCGGGAGCAGGCTTTGCTTAAAAAGTTAAGTTTCGGAACCTTTGTTTGTCCTAGATAATTAATGAGGGTGCTCGATCTAAGTCCTTGAACTCCTCGCGAAATAAGTTTCGGGCAGATTTCGGCGCTCGCGAGACGACGCGCGCGCGTGCCCCGCCCCATCCGTTGCAAGGGATCCTAAGAAACTGGTGACTCTTATTAACGAGCACGCGCGCAGTGCTTTTCTTGCCAGAAGAATGAGGAGGGGGGCGCCACGACGGTACGGATCCAAATTTTGGATGGCCGAGTCCGCAAAATCGCGCTCGAACAAATTAGGCCACTTGCAAAGCCTGCCGCGGGAGGACCCCGAGTCCAATTCGGAAGAAGAGAACCTGCGTGGCGCGAACAATTCTGGTCCGCGGCGAGCGGTCAAATCCACTGCTCGCGGCGCAATCTCCCCAACCACCCACCCGCAACTTGGTCTGCAAAACTTCTGGGGCGGCAGCTGTGACGCCTGCCCGGCGCCGACCGGCGCGTCGCCGCGGCCGCGCTATGGCGCGCGCAGAGTCGCGCGCAGAGCGGCCGGCCAGTCTGGCGCGACCGACGCGGCCGAGCTAGCGCTGACTGCCGCGCACGCCCCAGCGCGTCTCGCAGGCCGCGCTGGCGCGCGGGCACTTCAGTGCGAGGCAAAGAACTGGGCGGGCGCGGCATCGTGACGACGTCGACAACGGTAGACGCGGTGCCGATAGTAGCGATGGTGGCGACGATGATGACGATGACGACGGCGAAGCCAGTCACGGCGCAGATGCCGAGCACGCCGGCGACGATGAGGGTGTCCCAGCGTCGGCGATGAAGGTTGCAATGCGGATTTCGACACTCGCGCGCGGTCGACGCGCGCGAAAGGACCGCATGGCAGTCTGGCGCGCAAGGGCGTTCGAATGGCTTCGACATGCGTGCGAGAGGCACGTTTGGTAGGATTCCATGAGAAGGTAGGGAAGCCGATAATCATCGTAAGAATTCGCAAGGGCGCGGGCGAAGTCTGTTTGAAAGTTCTTGCGGCGAAACCACTTGCGTTTTATATGTTCCTGGGGCAGTCGATTATGCAATCCGTGCGGAACTTCGGTTTTGAAAGATTTCGGCATGCGCGCGCGACGACGCGCGCGCGCTGACTTCGTCCCAACTGTTCAAGGGATTTTTGCGACAGCGCGCGCGCAAGGGCGTTCGAATGTGTCGGGCATGCGCGCACGGGGGGCACGGTTAGTCGCACTTCATGAACATTCTAACTTGTCCTAAGAATATGCCAGAGCGCGAACGCAGGCTTTTTTGAACATTCCTGTTGCGATGCCATTGACTTTGCCATATTATTCGGGTGCCTCGATCTCGAAGTCCGTACGAAACTAACGGTTCTTGGAAGATTTCGGAATTCGCGCGCGACGACGCGCGCTCGCTTCGTCAAATGTTGTTGCAACATTTTCTGGAAACCAAAATTCCGACGATGAGTCAGAGTGCGTTTGAACGTTCTGGCAATGGATGAGGGTGTCGATACCAGTTTGGCTGCGATCATACGGTTCATATTTGGAATGAACGATGGGACAGCATCGTACGTAAATGGCACACACCAAAGGGTGGGGATAATCCTAGCCTCGGGGGGGTGGTAGATCCTACCTCGTCTTTTAAACTGGAAAAATATGCGCTGTGATAAATATATGTGTGTGGTGTAATCTCTGACGTGTACTTCGCGGGGTGCATCTATGTCGCGAGCGATGTTTCCCGATCTATGTGATGCAGCCTATGTCGGGCAATCCATGTGGCGCAGACACGATTCTTCGTGCAATCCACGTGGTGTATTCCAGCGGCGGCGACGGGCGGCGACGAGGCGACGACGGTGCGGCAACGGCGAGGTTCGTAGCTGCCAGAGCGACACGCAAGCCCAGGCGACGGGCGGTGGCGACGAGGCGGCGACGGGGCGACGACGGCCGGCACGGAGCCGCCAAACCGAGACACAGGCCCAGTTCCTTAGACCAGCAGTAAAGACCCCTAAGTGCAAGCACTGTTTGTGGCATCGCATGCCTCCCGTAGCCCGTCGGCAAGATGAGCTAAGAGGAACTCTGGCGCAGGATGGAGCGAGTTGGTCGACCCGGCTAGAGCGGAAAATGTGGTGACCTGGGTCAGGGTTTCGCAAGGTTGCGCCGACATTTGACTGGCCATAATGAGGGTCCAGATGCTGTGGGGAGCGCAGGAAGGACAAGCCCAAGCAGCCCGATGAATGCAGAGGGCACAAGACCGAGAAACCCGAGGAATGCAGCACGGCAACAAGACCAAACAGATCGAGGAATGCAGCAAGGAGAAAAGACAAACCAGCCCCGGGCAACGCCGCAAGGAAACAAGATCAAGCAACCCCGAGCAACGCCACGGCAGGACCAAGCGCCGAGGAGCGCCACGGGGACGTGACCGAACAACCCCGAGGACCCCCGACGCCGTAGGCCTCGCACCCACCGGATCTTCAAAAGCTACGCTGGCAGAGGACCCAACCATACTACGCAGGCGTGAATGCCACAAGGCAGGCGGGAAGACGGGAGCGGAGCTCACTACCCAGACCTCCTCGGGCAGTGGGAAAAACATGACGGGAGGTCTCTCAGTATCGTCGGCCTCCGGAGGACATCACCTGGCCTGGGGACCGTCAAGGCACAACTCAGGATGAAAAACCAGTCCTGGGGAATGGGTCGAGACCTCTCAGGGTCGACGTTATGAAGAAGTCATAACGTCGGGGGTCTGAGTATGGGGTCACGAAACGTGTGAGGGGTGACCGAAACGAGCGGGAATGTACCACCCGCGCCTTCTGTGGAGCTCTCTATAGGGCCACGAGACGTGTGAGGGATGCTTTCAAATGGGGCGGGGCCGCCATGCAGACCTTGTCACTGGGACCTTGAAAAGAAGGCCACGAAACGCGTGAAGGGTGCGCCGGCGTGGGGCGGTGCGCCCATGAGGACTGCGCCACTGGAGCCTTCGGCGCAGCTCCGGCATGAGTGTGCGCCGAAGTGAAGCGGGGCCACCATGCGGACTCTGCCACCGGAGCCTTCGGTGGAGCTCCCTGTGGGGCCACGAGGGGTGCGCCGGCATGGGGCCACTGGCCGCCATGCGGAATTTGCCACTGGGGCCTTCGGTGGACCTCCCTGGGGGAGCGAAGAAACGTGTGAGGAGGACGCCGGAGCCGGCGGTGCAACCGCGTGGGGACCGTGCCACTGGAGCCTTCGGTGGAGCTGCCTTGGCCACGAAGCGCGAGGAGGGGCGCCGACCCCGAGGGTGGAACTGCGTGGCGCTCCTGCGTAGGAGGAACGGCTCAGACAGAAGGGGCGGTTACGAAAAAGGGGATTCGCGAATCAGCTCTTGCAGCTGATTTCCCCAGCGCCTCCCAGCGCCAATGTATCGAGGAATGCGCCGGGCGGCGGGGCCGAAACCGGCTGCACGCGCCAGATTTCGCAAGCTCCTCCTTTCTCTGCCTACCCCTTTCGTCCGACTCGATCCTCGAGGGCTTGGGGAGGTGCCTGCTCGCTCCTTGGGCCTCCGCGGGGGCCACTGGGGGCTCCGCGGGGCCTGCCGGAGGTCTCCAGGGACCTCCACCGCCTCCTCCACCGCCTCCTCCTCCTCCTCTTCCTCCTCTTCCTCCTCGTCTTCCTCCTCGTCCGCCTTCTCCGCCTCTTCGACGCTCTGCTCCTCATCTTCCTCCCCTCCTCCTCCTCCTCCTCCTCCTCCTCCTCTCACCTCCTCCTCCACCTCCTCCTCCCTCCTCCTCCTCCTCCTCCTCCTCTCATCCTCTCCTCCTCCTCCTCCTCCTCCTCCTCCTCCTCCTCCTCCATCCTCCTCCTCCTCCTCTCCTCCTCTCTCCTCCTCCTCCTCCTCCTCCCTCCTCCTCCCCCCTCCTCCTCCCCCTCCTCCTCCTCCTCTCCTCCTCCTCCTCCTCCTCCTCCTCCTCCTCTTCCTCCTTCGCTGTGCTGCCTGCTCCTCCTCCTCCTCCTCCTCCTCCTCCTCCTCCTCCTCCTCCTCCTCCTCCGCCGCCCTCCTCATCCTCCGGCAGCGAGGGCAGGCAGGGGCCCTAAGACGCGCTGGTCTCCCATACTTTAAGAGCTGGAGCGGGGGGCACGGGACCCCACAGAGGTCGTGCTTGAGTCTCTGGATGTGGGCCCGAAGCCAGTTGTGAGGCCCACCGTGCTGAGATAGCTTCAGGATCTCGCTGCCCTTCGTGGCCCCGTTGCAGCCCTCCGTGGCCCCCTCGCTTTGTTTCGTGGCCCCGTTGCAGCCCTTCGTGGCCCCCTCGCTGCCCTTCGTGGCCCCGTTGCAGCCCTTCGTGGCCCCGTTGCAGCCCTTCGTGGCTCCCTCGCTTTGTTTCGTGGCCCCATTGTAGCCCTTCGTGGCCCCCTCGTGCTTGAGTCTCTGGACGTGGGCCCGAAGCCAGCTTTGAGGCCCATCGTGCTGAGATAGCTTCGGCTGTGCCTCACATCGCTAACCTTTCGGCGGTCAGGAGCGCGTGCTCTGTGAGTCGCGGCGGCAGCCCTTGCGATACGCCGTGCCCTGCAAGCGGATAGCGCGTCGCTCCGCTCCGCGGGACGGGGGACTTGGAAGAGCTCGAGGCGCTGACGCCTTGGGAACTGGGACGACGTGCTCAGCGTGTCGCGCCACAGCGTGGTGGCCCAGAACTGGCAGCGCGACACGCTGAGCGAAAGCTCCTCCCTACAATCGACCCCGCCCTGGCAGAGGGTGGAACAACCACCACCATCAGAAGCACTCCGACAGGCCAAGCCCTCTAGCAAACTCACACAAGTATCCAAGGATCGAGCAGGACAAGGCTGTTTACTAAACGCCCAGGGCCGATCAGTACACGCCACTTGTGAAGATCGGGGTGTCACCGCCTCCGCTGACCTAGACCCCCATCGAGGATCGACGGCCAAGGCTGTTGGGCACTGGTGGCCCTCTCTGCCACCTCCAGGAGCCTGGGGGCATCCAGGGACCTCTGGGGACTCCCGCGGACCTCCAGGGACATCTGGAGACTGCCGCTGCCGCCTCCGCCGCCGCTTCCGCCCCATTCTCCACCACCACCACCACCACCACCACCTCCTCCTCCTCCTCCTCCTCCTCCTCCTCCGCCTCCTCCTCCTCCTCGTCTGACGCCATCATGGGTCACATGCTCTTCCTCATCCTGGGCCCCTGCTGCCTCCTCCTCCTCCTCCTCCTCCTCCTCCTCCTCCTCCTGCTTCTCCTCCTCCTCCTCCTCCAACTCCTCCTCTTCCTCCGCCGCCGCCTCCTCCGCCGCCGTCGCCGCCGCCCGCCACGTCTTCCTCGATAGGACCTTTCGTTCCCGCTCCTCCCTCCCTCCTCCTCCTCCTCCTCCTCCTCCTCCTCCTCCTCCTCCTCCTCCTCCTCCTCCTCCTCCTCCTCCTCCTCCCCCTCTGACGCCATCATGGGTCATATGCTCCTCCTCATCCTGGGCCCCCGCCGCCTGCTCCGCCTCCTTCGTCGCCGCCTCAGCTCCAACATCCGCCTCTTCATGCTCCTTCTCCAGCCCAGACGTCCGACGTCGTGTTTTTGTTGTTCGTGTTGCTGTTGCTGTTACTGTTGCTGTTGCTGTTGGACTCTCATCTCTGAGAAATACTGATTATTGATATCCCCACCAGTGCATACTGTTTTGTCTCCATCAAAGTGTGCACCTCGACGATCGCACCCAGTTTCTTATCAGGGAAAGTCTTGAGGCTCAAACTGTGCCCCTGGCCCCCGGGTTAAAACAGCAACGGCTCCCGCCTGAGACTTCCTCACAATTTAGCCAGGATCCCCGCTCCCGCCCGAAACGTCCTCGCATGTTACTCAGGAATCGTGCTCTCGCGTTGGACTTCCTTACAATTTATTCCGGAATCGCTCTTCCGGCGCTCAGTAGTCGCGCTCTCGCTGGAGACTTGCTTGCAATTTACTGAAGAATAGCGCCCTTGCGGCGGAATTTCTTGCAATTTACTGAAGCGCCGCGCTCCCGACACCCAGGCACCCAGGAGTCACGCTCACGCTTAGAACTCCCTTACAAATTGCCTAGGAATCGGGATCTCGCTGTCCTTCGTGGCCCCGTTGCAGCCCTTCGTGGCCCCCTCGCTTTGTTTCGTGGCCCCGTCGCAGCCCTTCGTGGCCCCCTCGCTGCCCTTCGTGGCGTTGCAGCCCTTCGTGGCCCCGTTGCAGCCCTTCGTGGCCCCCTCGCTTTGTTTCGTGGCCCCGTTCCAGCCCTTCGTAACCCCCTCGCTGCCCTTCGTGGCCCCGTCGCAGCCCTTCGTGGTCCTGTTGCAGCCGTTCGTGGCCCCCTCGCTGCCCTTCGTGGCCCCGTTGCATCCCTTCGTGGACCCCTCGCTGCCCTTCGTGGCCCCATATATGTATGCCCTTCGTGGCCCCCGCTCGTTCGCGCTCTTCGTGGCCCCATATGCATGCCCTTCGTGGCCCCGCTGTCGCCCTTCGTGGCCCCCTCGCTGCCCTTCGTGGCCCCGTTGCTGCCTTCAGTGGCCCCGTCCTTGCCCTCCGCGGCCCAGTATACGTATGCCTTCCGTGGCCCCCGCTCGTTCGCGTCCGTTGTGGCCCCATGTGCATGCCCTTCGTGGCCCCGCTGTCGCTGTTTGTGGCCCCCTCACTGTCCTACATGGCCCAGTTGCTACCCTCAGTGGCCCCATCGTTGCCTTCTGTGGCCCCGCATTATCTGCCCTTCGTGGCCCCCGCTCGTTCGCGCTCTTCGTGGCCCCATACGCATTCCCTTCGTGTCCCCGCTGTCGCCCTTCGTGGCCTACTTTGTGTCCTTGTGGCCCTGCTGTCGTTCTCTCTCGCTCTCGCTTTCGCTCGTCGTCGTCGTCGTCGTCGACGTCGACGTCGTCGCCATGGTCGGTCCCCTGTCCGTCCCTCTTGGGGTCGGGTCGACGGTCCGCGGCCGCCCCGCCGATCAGCGCTGCCGCTGGCCAGGCCGACGGTCCGCGGCCGCCACGCCGCTTGCCGGGGCCCGGCCTGCAGGGAAGAAAGGTGTATCCCCCCCAAAAGGGGTTCGATCGAAGACGAAGAGGACGGGTATCGAGGATTTGGAAAATACGCGTTATTGGACACTCGAGCAGATAAGGGCGAACAGTAGTAAAATGATTGTTGTTGTTGTTTGTGTTATTGTTATTGTTGCTGTTGCTGTTGCTGTTGCTGTTGCTGTTGCTGTTGCTGTTGCTGTTGTTGTTGTTGTTGTTGCTGTTGTTGTTGTTGCTGTTGTTGTTGTAATGACCTGGGCCCCAGACACCTGGGCCCCCCTCCTGGGGACCACCTCTTCGCTTCGAGCCGTTCTTGGCCGCCCCAGGGCCCCCGCAAAGAGGCCCACTGCCGCCCACAGAGAAAGGCCCTCGGCCGCGGCCCTCCGCGGCGCCGAGGTGGCCAGGGGCAGACCCCCCTGCCTGCCTCCCGCCCGCGGGCCGCCCGACTAAAGGGGCCCAAGGACACACAAATAAATACACACAAGCAGAAAGATTCCCTATCTTGTTCCACATGTTCTGGGTTGTTGCCTTCCGGCCTTTTCCCATATTTTCCCATATTTTCTTGGGAGTCGACGGTTAATTGTGTCTGTGTGTTTCTTTCCCTCCTGCCCGCGGGCCGCCCGACGCGCGGCGGGCCGAGGCCGCGCCCGGGCCGAGGCCGCCACAGGCGTCGAGCGAGGCGAGCAGGTCGCTGCCCCCCGCCTGCGCGCCCGCGCCGCGCGCGCGCGCGGCCGCGCCAGGCGCTGCGCGCCAGTGCCTGCGGGCCTGCGCGGGCCTCGGCCGGGCGCGCCCGCGGCCTCTGTTTGCCCAGGCCCCCCTCGGGCAGTGAGCAGAAATCACGACGGGAGGTTCGGGTCGGGCGAAAGGGGGGGATAGCAAAGGGGGGGTTTGAGAATCAGCTCACGTAGCTGATTTTCCCGGCGCCTCCCGGCACCAGAGGCGCCCATGTATCGAGGAATGGGCCCGGCGGCGGGGCCGAAACCAGCTGCATGCAGCAGATTTCGTAACACCCCCTTTCCCAATCCCCCCTCTTCGTCCGGCCCGAGTTCTGCATTTTTCGGCTACACGCAAGAGTGATCCCGGGTAAGAGTGGCCTTTGGTGCGCGGCTTTTGAGGGGCCGCGGCGGAACCAGCACACAAGTGCGCAAGACGCTGCTACCGCATCGCGTTCGGCGATTCGGGGACCCCACTGGGCCCGCACCAAAGGTCACTCCGGCGAACGGTCACTCTTACGTGTAGTCGAACTTTCGGCCTCTGGAGGCCCTCGCCGGGCCTCGGGGCCGTCACGGAGCGACTCGGGGTGAGATGCCGGTCCCGGGAACGGGTCGAGACCTCTCAGGGTCGACGCTACGGAGAAATCGTGGCGTCGGGGGTCTGGGTCTGCAGGGCGTCGTCGAAGGCGCGCGCGCGCGCTCGGAGGGCTCTTCTGCGGGGGGCCGGTCCGCCGAGGCGCCTCGGCGAGGCCCCGGCGTCGGCCAGGGCATTTCGACGACGGTGCGGAGCCCACCACGCCGGTCCGCGGATGAGATCGGCCAAAGCAGGTCGCTCACCCTGATGCAAGCTACAGCCAACCCGTACGTATCAGAAGGACGCACGGTAAGGATGCAAGGGCCTTGGAAGGTCGTATCGACACTTTGCGAGCGGGACGCGGCCAACGAAAGTGGCCAAGGATGGGCCGAAGGGGCAAGGATGCAAGGGTACCCTCGGGAAGGTCGCCCATACTTCTTATGCCAGTTGGCTGTACCATGGATGGAGGAGCAAACAATGGCATGGACAGAAGATGTTGTAGGTCCGCGCGGATTTCTCGGATCGGCGCTGGACCCCCCTCAATGGCGCGCTCCGCGTGCCAATAGCGGCGCTGGAGGCGCCGCCAGGGTGCGCCAACGCCGATCCGAGAGATCTGCGCGAACCTCGGAAGTTCATGTTTACGCCTTCTTCAGATTCCCGACACCGTGGCTCTAGAACATCCTCGATCGCGAACTGGCGATGCCACACAGGCCAAGGGACGATCCAGCGCGTCATGCCCCGCTCGCCTAACTCAGACCCCCTCGCGTCGCGAAAGCATCGCGACGAGAAGTTTGCAGCCTCTCTGAAGGCCCCACCAGGCCGCCGCGCGAGCACCAAGTCCGCGCATGCGCGCGCGCCGATCTGTGGGCGCCGGCTGCTTCCGCCGCAAAAAGCGAATCAGAATGGACCCCAGTCAGGCGGATACTCGTGAGGGGTCGCAATTGGGGGAGTGGGGGGGGGGAATGGCACATTCCCCAAGCGAGGCAACTGGAAGGGGAAGCCCTTCCCCCAGGTTGTACACTGGTCGACTGGAACGAGCTCCATGTCAGACGGCGGCTCTCCCATGCTTGCGGCCCAGCTCCAGACGTGGCCCGAAAGTGTTCCCAAAAGGGCCCAGCGCTGCACTGCACTAAACGGAGGACCCCCTAAAAGAACGCATCCACGTTGGGCAGGGCGCGGCGGTCGCGCGTACGCGGCCCTGGTGTCGCCTCGCCACCCCTCGGGGTCAGACGTTGTTCTCTGAGCTGGATAATGCCAGATCACGCGCGTAGTTTCCTCTGCGCAGTGAACCACGGGCGCAGTCGCCGCGCCGAACGTCTTCAGGACGGCGGCAAGCAACAAAGGGCACCTCAAAGGGCCCCTAAAGCGTGCCAAGGGACACGGCACGGGATGAGAAGCTGGTCCCTGGGGAGGGGTCCAGACCTCTGAGGGTCTAAGTCATGGAAAGGAAAAACACGACGTCCGACGTCTGGGTTGGAGGAGGAGGAGGCCGAGAAGGAGCATGGTGATGCTGACAGCGACGGAGCAGGAGGAGGAGGTCGAGGGAGCAGATGGCCCGTGATGGCATCGAAGGGGGAGGAGGAGGAGTTCGATCGAGGGGGATGCGCAGGGCGCCGATTGACCGAGGAGGAGGAGGTCGATCGAGGAGGATGCGAGGAGGAGTTCGATCGAGGGGGAGGAGGAGGAGTTCGATCGAGGGGGACGCGAGGAGTTCGATCGAGGAGGAGTTCGATCGAGGTCCACATCACGAGAACCGATCATGACGTCGGGGGTCCGGGAGCCCCGAACCGTGGCACTCGATCAGGGGGTCGGGGCTGGAAGGCCGAGCCCGATTCAGCGGCCCCGAGGGCCCGGTCCACGGCCCCAACATCGGTCCGGGGCTCGAGGAGCCATCAACGGGGGGCTCGACGAGCGCCCCGTGAGCCTCCGTGCAGCTGCGGCAGGTCCCTCTCGCCCCTCGCTCTTTGGGCTCCAGGGGAAGAGCGGCAGGGAGGCAAGCAGAGCGTGGAGGAGTGAGCAGAGTTAGGTCGGGCATGTCCCCCTGCAGGGGGGGAGTTTGGACGAAAAGGGGGGAGAAAAAAAAAAATATTCAGAAGACATGCAAGAATGGTCAACAAGAATCGTCCCAAAACTACGTTCTGACCACTTCTGCATACTCCTCCTGCAGAGGGACAGGCCCCGATCTGAGGGCAGAGGCACCCGACGCCGAGGACGAGGAGGGGCACAGCAACGCGGCGCGGACGAGCGCGCCACGTGCTGCGGCGTCCCCAGCCCCAGCCCCGGGGGCGCCCGGAGCGCCAGGCGTGAAACGGCCCGCCGTGCGCCCCTCGGCGCCACGCGCACCCAGAGCTGGATAGCGTGTGTGTGTGTGTGTATGTTTATGTGTATGTGTATGTGTATGTGTATGTGTCTGTGTCTGTGTCTGTGTATGTGTATGTGTATGTGTGTATGTGTGTATGTGTGTATGTGTGTATGTGTGTATGTGTGTGCGCGTGTGCGCGTGTGCGCGTGTGCGCGTGTGCGCGTGTGCGCGTGTGCGTGTGTGTGTGTGTCTGTGTGTCTGTGTGTCTGTGTGTCTGTGTGTCTGTGTGTCTGTGTGTCTGTGTGTCTGTGTGTCTGTGTGTCTGTGTGTCTGTGTGTCTGTGTGTCTGTGTGTTGTGTCTGTGTCTGTGTGTGTGTGTCTGTGTGTCTGTGTGTTTGTGTGTCTGTGTGTCTGTGTGTCTGTGTGTCGGTGTGTCTGTGTTTCTGTGTGTCTGTTGTGTCTGTGTGTCTGTGTGTCTGTGT